AAGAAAATTAACTCTATCCCAGCCAAAACCAGGACACAATAGAGTTACATTTATCTCACTTAACATTAGAAGTGCCAGTAAAAGTAGGCATGTAGCCTAATTTTTATGTCTAGGCTTCCTCTATAAGCAGTAGTGAGAAGCCAGACGCTCCGAGGACCAAGTATCCCATGCTAAAATACCTGGGATTAATTTTCCCTTGGAGCCTCTCAAATTTTAGGTGGCTAGGCAGGGCAGCTGCTCACCCTCTACTAGTGCAATATCCATTGCTATATGCCATAGTATGTCCCACTCTGTTTCCATTCCTCTGTTTCTCCTAACTCTGCCTCCTGCTGACTCCTTTGTCCCCTTTCCCTGGTCAGGGTGTCCCTGCTGCTCCTCACACTTCAGATCCCACTGAACCACAGGATGGCACTGACGGTTTCATGGAGGTGTCTGTGTACATTGCTTCAATCTCACCGATTAAGACTATCTCTTTTCAGGACAGCCTCAGCAATATATGCACAAGGATTGTACAGGACATTCATCTTCATGGCTTCAGCCTCCTTGGCCCTAATGGGATTTGCCAGGGGAGTGGATTATGGGAAAATGACTGATATGTCATTTTTCCTTTCATTAATCCAAGAAAAATTAAGCCCATCTAATGCCACAAGAAAATCGACAGCTGTATTTCATCAGCTTCCCAGCCACCTCAGCATACAGATAAAACTAAATCTCACCATTCATTACTTTTTCCTCACATCTGCTCTCTTTTCCCTACTAATTTTATATAATTTTATAACTGCAGTGAGTCAGAAAGGGTATTCCACTTGCAGGTCCTTTGAACCAGCCTATGTCTGAATGTCAAGGTCATAGCCATCTGGCCTCCATTCCCACCCCTTCTTTTACCTGGGCATGGAAGGAAATATCTAACAGTTGTTCTTTGTCTTCTCCAAGGAGAAGGTAGCTGCTCCTACAGTCTACTTCCAACCTGTTGGTTGGCTGGACCATACTGCATAAACCAATGCTTCTCCTTCCCTCTTCCCACCACTCACATTGTTAATCTCTCCTCTCACCCCCAAAATACAAACCACCACTTCCTGCTTTCCAGAAGCAGTCCACTTTTCTGCCTTTACACTTGCTGGTCCTGAGGTTCTGATGAGGCAGACAACAGAAAGCTTAGGAACAGAAATTTAGAATATAGATAGGGTACGAATTATAAGGTAGGATATAGAATATACAGGGTTCAGAATATACAAATAAAATACAGTTTAAGAACATTTGATGCTTAAGTTGTCATCTCTCTGTTTTCTTCCCCAGTCGAAGTGTTAATACTTTTCTGGAAGTGCTTTTACTTTCATTTGACACTGAGAATTTATAATTTACATGGTGAAAATGCCCTCATTCTGGGAACAGAGGCATTTCTTTCCTGTTTCAGCAGCACATCAAATTTGATTCTGATTGAAAGAAACTCAATTCAGTGAGCATTTGTAACCTGCAAAATTGGTGTCTTTGGGAAGTGCCAGTGATTTTGCGGCAGATCATGCTCTCTGTTCATCTATCTGTAACTGGTGGAGGTGGAATTTCTTTCGATCACTCTGGATTCATATACTCCAACTGCAGTACTACTCTTTCTAATGACAGTATAGTACTGTATCTGCTACTTAAAGATGCTGCAGAATGCATGCATGTTGAAGAGATTCCCCTTTCCCCAAATAGAAGAGGATCTGTAATTTTGGAGAAGCAAAATTCAAATGTGGGCAAAAAAATTAGGATCTTGATGTCCAGCAACCTCTGAGTAGAAATTATTTGGAGACCAAAGACTTAATTTGGATGACTGCAGGCTTTGAGATTGATATGTCTCTTAAGTGTCTTCTTTTTTTTAGATTTACCATGCGTGGCTGGGAAACAGGTGGAACTGGGATATTTGCAAGAAGGAAGGGATCTGTTTAACGAGTTCTTATGCAACTTGCAAATGAACCTATGAGAAAAATGGCAATTCTGCTGAACTTCAAGGAATCATGCATGACTAAACATTTAGGCCTTCCCATCTCTGTTTAGAAATGTTTGAATCAGTTATTGCAATGCTTGTTTATTTAACACAGGCTTGCATGAATGCATCACTGTTGCTGTATCAGCCACTCTTGGATAATTCCCTCCCTTTGCAGTTTTTTGTGTACATGTATTATATGTCCTCAGCACCTGATCCTGAACACTTATTTCAGAAGAACAAACTGAAGGATAGTGTGTGCAAATATCACTGACTGGCTGTCGTGATCTAGCTCCAGCCAGCAACTAAGCACCACGCAGCCACTTGCACACTCCCCCTACCCCGATGGGATGGGGGAGAGAATCGGAGGAGTAAGAGTGAGAAACACTCCTGGGTTGAGATAAGAACAGTTTAATAATTGAAATAAAGTAAAACAGTAATGATACTGATACTAATACTAATACTACTACTACTAATAATAATATACAGAGCAAGTGATGCGCAATGCAATTGCTCACCACCCGCCGACCAATACCCAGACAGCTCCCAAGCAGTGATCGCTGCCCCGCAGCCAGCCCCCTGACAAGTTTACATACTGAGCATGACACCATATGGTATGGAATAGCCCTTTGGGCAGTTTGGATCAACTATTCTAGCTGTGCCCCCTCCCAGTTTCTTGTGCACCTGGCAGAGCATGGGAAGCTGAAAAGTCCTTGACTAGCATAAGCAGTACTCAGCAACAACTAAAAACATCAGTGTGTTATCAACATTCTTCTCCTACTAAATCCAAAACACAGCACTATGCCTGCTACTGGGAAGAAAATTAACTCTATTCCAGCTGAAACCAGGACACTGGCATGCCAGTTGCTTGTGCTGCCTGAAAGCTGCTTATCTCAAGTCAAACCTTTCTTGTAACAATAAAAACAATCCCTGAAAACTGCCAACATGGGGAAGACCTTTGGTAAGAGAATATAGCTTAGTTCAGCCTAGACAAAAACAAAACAAAATCTGTAGTTGTACTGAAATGCAATTTATTCAACACAGTTGTGGTTACCCTTTTGTCTCAGAATCCCAGAGGGAATGTCCAAGTTACAGCAGCTAAGAGCCCCAAACTGTCTTACACCTCCTCCTCCTCCTCCTCCTCTCTCAAATAGTCCTTTCCCAGGAATGCAGTAAGGGACCTTTCCACATTGTAAGTCCTCGAGGCTCATTACATTCCTCTTAGTATTGTGTTTGTATCAAAATAAATTATTTATGGAAGTCATAATGCCCTGCACAGCTTTTGAAATACAGAGTAGTTCTGACTTCGTTTGCACTGGTGTAAAGCAGACATAACCTTAATGCAGTTGGCTGTGGAAGCACTTGGGTGTGAAGCTGGCATCAGTAGGACCTGATCCAGGACTAGTGCCCCTACACACAGCATCTCAGAAAATAATTCGGTGACAGAGCCTATCACCTTTAGCACCACGTATATATTGATCATTTCACTGTACAATGGATATGTCTTAACTGTCAATATCAAATGAAGATCTAAGTCATCCCTTTAGGGAAGATGGATACAGATCCAGCGCCTGGGCAAAGAGCATGCTGACGTAGAAATAGTGAAGGCATCCAAGTAGGCACATTCAGAGTGATTCCGTATCTGAAACCTGAAAAAATACAGGAAGAAAACAGTGATTACTAAATAATTTCTACTACTGAGACAAATATTTTAGCCTGCTGTAAAAGAAAATTTCTGCTGAAGTAGTTTCCAGTTGACTTTGGCCCCTTGTGATATGGTAGTTTCAGCTGCTAAAAGCAAGGTGAGTGATAAATCATGTTAGAAAAGACTGTTTATGTTGCACTGTTGCATGAACCTCCATTTCTATGAATGGTCCATACCAGGTATCATACCATATATCCAAAATAACAGGTGGAAAGACAAAAGACAGCTTATGATATATCCTGCCTAGAATTACTGAGGCCATAAATGCCCCGGAGAGCAAGACAAAGGGAACTGCTGGTTGATGGGCCTGATGCAGAGCTGTTGTAGCCCACACATTTTCTAATATAAACAGGGGAAAAATCTGGGTTGTCCGCAGGTTGTGACAAACTCGCTAAAGCAGATATGATCTTTCTTATGAAGCTGCTTAATCCATCTGAAGATTATGATTTCCTCATACCTGTCATTTCGTTCACTTTCATCCCTAAAAAATGTATGTGTATTGCTAGATATTGTGTATTTCAGGAAGACGAGCATAAAAGATCACATTGCAAACCAAGAATTCTGAAGATCTGAAGAGACTGAAATGTCTGTATTACGTACTGAAAAATATGTATGAATTAAGGTAAATAGGCATGATCAATAACATTGTCTTGATGTGCTGAGCTACTAAAAAACCCTTCTTGAATCAGGGACCTCTCTACATTGATGCTATTGGAGTTAGAGCAGTAATAACTGCAGAGAGTTCATTTTCAAAGTCATAGTTATAAATCACAGGAAGAAAACCAATTCTGATAGAAATAACATTGTGCTGTAAACCCTAATTCTACATTTACTTAAGTACATCTTAGACAATCACAAGGAACTTACGAGTTCTGCAGGGGACTACCATCCTCCCAGTAGAAGCTTTCACCTCTCTTGCGCAATCCAATCCAGGAGTCATCTATTTTCAAACGCTTAGCTAAAGAATGCTAAAAAAAAAGAAAGCATTTTTGTCAATATGAGCTCTCTCAATGAGGAGCAAATCCCTGCTGTGACTTTTGAGGAGGACTAGTTCATCACACTCTCATCTAGAACATGTTCATAAGCATTTCATTGAGAGTTAACAGCCTAAATCTGCCTTTGAATTGACCCATATAGTTATCATAAACTTCAGTGAAGTTACTCAATTCTATACCCTTGAAAATTATTACTGTTCACTGCACACAAAAATACCCAAACACCACGTATTGGTTGTGTCTGTCTATATATGTTTATCAGTCTCTATATAAGCAACTTGGTCTAAATACACTGGTACGTACAGGTGTTTCCTGCATTTCAGATGGGCATATGGGAACTCCTCCCCTTCCTAATTATTATTTAAATAATTTAAAGTTTGTTATCTGTGGATGTACAGTTCACTGCTCCAGAAGTTTGCAACAACCTGTATCAAACACAGCAAAGAATGATGGAAGGTAACAGAAACAGCACTTGCAATGGGTTAATATTACAGAACTTCCTGCAACAAGCTATCATTAGACTCAGTGAACTTACGTAAAAATTATATAAATATTAGCTGTCAGCATGGACTCTAATGGACATGGAAAGAGTAAACACTTACACTCCTCCACTCTCCTCCAGCAACTTCAATTCAATACAGTTCAGAAGGAACTGTCTCTGTATGGTCCCAATGCCATTTCTACAGTTTTTGGTGTACCTTCTTCTGGTGTGGCTCACACTACCCAGTGCTGGAGACCATTCAACACATACCACAGAGCACTAATCTGACCGGGTAGGTCAATGTCCGCACTCCTGCGCTTTTCTTTCATAAGTGGGGTTTACAGTTTGTAGGTATAAGGGTTTTAAGCAGCAGCTTAAATAACACCAATTTCTGCCTAGCCAATTATCAGCTGAGTATCACAAGCACCAAATTAGAAGTGAAGCTTTTAGATGCATAAGGAAGAGAGACATTTACAAATTCAGTAAGAGGTGATCACTCACAGGACAGCAATGCAGAAGGGGCTTGTGGAGAGGGGACAAACTGGCAAATATGGTCGGAATTATTGGCAAAGAAAGGGGTCTGATGATGGGATAAAATGAGAGACCACATTCAGTAAGGGACTTGCACGTGAAGAACTAGGCCCTGCATCTTCCTCATTGTTGAAATTCTTGTCACTGTAAAAATATTTATTAGCTCAAGTCAAATTCAGATGTGACAATCTGTGTAATTTCACTGCAGTTTCCTCCATTTCAGTATCTGCTACACCACTAATACATACCAGCCAACTGGAAAAGTAGCCTATTGACCTCTACTCAACAATCACAGTAACAATAAAGCTCAAATGTCAATCTATCTAAAAACTAACTTTCTGATGAAACTAGTTTCTCATTGATAATACTCAAAAGACTCAGCAGATCTGTAAAAACATATTACAGTTTTAGTAGCATGCAGTAGTAAGATGTCGCTAGCATTCACCGACTCAATGCAACTGGACCATAATATAATATTTTAACAAACTTCTTAGCTTGAGAAAATGTCCAAGCCACCTTCAGCAGGCTATATTCCCACCACCGGTATAAGCATACATCTCCAAGAGGCATTAAGGCATCTCTAAAAACAGATGCAAGCTGATAAAGATGGATAATTTCCACTGTACTGAGAAATTATTTGAAATGTTTGGTTTCTTATAGAAATCAAAGTATCCGTTTACTTGTCTGTACTGAGAATTGGACAGATTCATACCTGCTTTGAAGATGAAGGTCCATAGGACAGAAAAGTAAAACTAGGTAAACTGATTCATAACAAAGAGCTTTTCATAGTCATTCAAGTCAAATCCAAAGCAGTGTGGGGCACCTGGTATTGCTGCTGCACCTGCTGCAGCCAGCCAGCTACCTACATTGACAAAGCAGGTACTTTTCCACTACCTGAATTCACACAGGTTACTTATTTTACAAAGATCTAAAGGATAAGTATTGCATGAAAAAAAAATTGAAAGCTTTGTGAAGGACAGAGAGAGGTATAGAAGTTGTGCTCTGTTTTGGTTTTGGGTTTTTCTTTCCTATTACCATTTCTTCCTGGTTTTCAAAAATGGCTAGCAAGAATCCACTCGAAGTGCAGAAGGTCTTACTAGATGTCCAGTTTTTTTCCTCCTCTGAGATGAAATAACATTTCTTTTTGTAACCTATCCACTCGCTGGGGCACTGTTCAGAAGGAAGTTTTCCATGGCAAAATGTCTTGAGTGTTAAAACTACAAAGGAAAAGAGAGAACAAAATTTCTACCTGGTAAAATCTTACCATTCATGAGCATAACTCAACCTAAAATGTAGATTTTTTGAAAGCCAATGCCACACTAGGTACCAGAAGAGAAGCCAAAGGAAGGGCAAGGATCCTGACCTTCCCTGCCTTTCAGGCACTGTCTTCAGCTGAGAAATGTGAAAGTTGGGGGCTGCAGCCTAATTATTACAATCAGTAGAAAAGAAGTAGGGTTTGGAAAACACTCCTGAATTTTAGAGAATTGGAGGCATTGACAATTGACTATTTATACTTGACACATTTTACATCCAGTAATAGGGTAATAAACCTCATACTGTTAATTTATCGATCAAATTCATTTTAAGTAATGAAGTTGCTTGAGTATCTACAACTGGTGAGATATTTCATGAAGACAAGCTGCTTTGATTTTGTATCAGACCTTTAAGTGTTTGATGAATCTCTGTGAAGATAAGGAAATTAGGTGTTGATATGATGCTAATGAAATTTGTCTGCTAACAAAGAGGTAAAAATTACTATTATTTGGAGAGTTTGAAGAATGGTTCATTGGAGTTGTTTCCCAGAGCATTTTGATGTTCTCTCTTCATCTTCTTTCTGTCACAGTAGCTCTGTGAGGGTGAGAGGACTCAGCGGCACGTTTTGTTTCAGTGCTGAGTTTAATTTCTTATGGTAACCAGCAAGTTAGTGGTGATAAGTACAGACAAGACATGCAAACACCACATGCATGGCCAGGCAAGAAACTACACTCTTAAGAGTAGTAAGGATGCAGCAAAAAGGAAAAAAAAGTTTGCAGCTGAAACATCTGCATTTTATCTGTAGGAAGAATTCTCTCTCCTTTTAACTTCTGCCTGGAGGTTATTCAGTCTTATACTGACATCAGAGTAACTGAAAACGTGATGGAAGTACTAGGTTTTGTGACTCTGCAGGCACTGCAGAGTACTAATGTTGGTGTGCTTGACTGCTGTGATCCTGGAGCCCAGCAGTCAAAGAAAACATATCTCAGATGGAAAATGTTCCAAAAGCTTACCAAATGCAATGATGAAGACCAGCACAAGTCCAAGAGATAGGTATGGCCTACAGACTGTGAAAAAGAAGATCATTAATGGCTTTGTATATATAGCACTTAGGCTCAGACTGCATTTCAGTATTGAGACAGCCTTTCATTTAAGCTCCAAGTATGTAAATACAAAGCACTACTGAAGTCAAACAAGGCACCCTGAATTGACATTTATGTAACTGGACAATTCAATAAAATGGCTAACTATCACCTAATTCACATTTTTTTTCATCCATATACACCCTAAAGTTTTCCACAGATGTGCAGACCCCTGCATAGCAAATTTAAGCCTTCCAGTCCCAAATTTATCATCTCCTCTATGTTTTGCAGACCTCTTAGTAATAACCTCTGGAGGCCGAGAACTCATAGATCATCACTAACTCAAATCAAGCTACATCCATGTTTGGAAAACAGGAGAATGTTCTCATGCAATTCAAACTTTAAAAGCTGAGGTTCAGAGTATGGCTGATGTCTTGAATCAAATGTATTTTCTCTTTCTCACAGGCTGTCCTTCACGCACAAATTTCAATCCAGAGGTGCAGGCTCATCTGTTGCAAAGGCACAAACTATTTTCTCTAATGAGGTTTGGCTTTACTTCCTACATCTTATCCAAGAGTATTTCATACAGGTAAACTTCCACATGGAAAAATGCCCGTTTTCACACAAAAGGATCAAACATAAACAGTTCACACTTGGATCAAACGTAAGAGTTATCTTAACTTTTGTGACTCCAGTTTTGCCTAGAAGCAAACTCCCAGGTTTTGTCTTGTCCCAGCCAGGGGACCTGGAACTAGGTTTGGAGCCAGACTTCAGACTTCCTGCAGGAAGGTGTCTTACCTAACACCAAAGAAAAAAAATCTTACATTTTGACTGCAAGAACCACTTTTTATAGCACCTCCTTGTCTTCTGCACCCAAGAACTAGCTGCCACATCTTGTTCCACGTTAGTGGAGTCTATGTTCCTAACAGGTGCTTGTGCCATCCCGGTGGTCTCAGCCTCCTGTTCATCTTCAGACTCCATCTACAGCTGGGAAACAAAGAAAGAAGCTATGTTTAATGAGTGCTTCCCCTACTGTCTACAAAAGAGTGGCAACAGTACAAATCCCAAAGCCGCCTTAGTTATTGCCTGTACCTGAGGGGATGAGGGCATCCTTGGTAGATGGAGAAATGAGGAAACAAACAGAAAATAAGGAGCTTGTGCAACGTATCTGAGGCCCACCAAAAGGAGAAGGTGGGCCTCAGATGCGTTGCACATACCCTCCTTCCCAGGGAGGGGGCCAATGCGGAATGAGGACTGTAATGGCGGGAAAGGGAAGAACAGAGCAGATGGGAACAGTGTGATAGGGAAGGGATGGGGCATATCAAGGCAGGAGGGAAAGGCCACAAAAACCAGAGCTTTCCACTTCACCACTACGTAGCTTAAAGTAGTTTTGTCTGCATGCGAAACGTTTGGGCAATTTCCCAAGTGAGGCTTGAACCCGGTCTGCAGAAGGGTCCACTGTATGCTTTTGTGCTCACTCCAATGACTGATATTTTCCTCACATATTTTCTTAAATCCCACTTTCAATGACAAAAAAAGAAAAAGTCACCCAGAGAAGAATATGCAGCTATAAACATTACTGTGTCGGTGCAGAAATGTCAATTCATCTTGATGAGTTAGGTTATAATGGGGGGGGGGGGGGGGCCACTCCTCTTTAGAAACGGCCTCAACATCTTTACTTTCATTACTGTTGTTATTATTTATGTTAATTGGCACATGCCTAAGAGGCATCCTGTGAGAGACTGAAAGAGTTGACGTCTCAAACATTGCGGTGAGACAAGTTAAGGTCTGCACAGAGACAAAGGAGAAACTAAGGCTTGGAATTACGTTCTCCAATAGGGTGCTCTTTCCCCAAAGACTCTTCTGATTGCCCTGAACACATCCCCAAACCACTTTTTCCATTTGAGTGCCTGGATAGTCATTGTTTGGTACATGGAGGTATGTTTGCCCGTGGGCTAGGCCTCTTGCCTCCAGCGAGCATGCTACACCTTGTACTCAAAAAGCACGGGTTTTGACTCCAGCCACAGAGGAGTTTCTCCTGAACCTTCTCACCCGCACTAGGGAAAAAGCCTATTCCCCATCCTCGGCTTTTGGGAGGGTTACAATGAGCAACACAGCCAGCTGGGGTACAGGGGAGCTACCCCTCTCTCTAAGACAAGGCATTTCTTGAAGGCAGATGCTGGCAAAAGCGTTTCACAGAACTGGAAGATTGAAGAAAAACGTACAGCCTAAAGCTCAGCGATTTTTCACCGAGCCACCAAATATACTTCCACTTCTGAGAGCTTATTTAGCTGAAGAAATTTGCTCTCACTTTTTGGGACGAGCTTTCTTCCTTTGGAGGGAACACCAGCAGGAGCTCCGTTTGTTCTGGGCCACCAGACAACCGCAAGCGAACGCGGAGACCCG